CATTCCTCTCTTTTCATTAAGTTAAGGGAGTATCTCTCTTGTCACATCAATTTAGCCAATTGTTGAAAGATAGAAAATGGACCAAAACTAGATTATACATGATTAACATAACTGATGCTCTAATGAAAAAGAAAAAAAAAAACTTCTTGAAGCAATGACTTCAAAAGGATTGTCACAAAATGTCCATTACTATGATTTCTCAACACAGCAGTGGCTTACAGAGGACTGGGAAAGTAGCTTTTTATGAGATGAGCTGACCCTTGGTGGGATGGTCATCTGCTCTGTGTTAAAAACACTTCAAAAGCCAGTCACTGTTGGCTGACCAATAGATGTAGTGGTGGAAACATTAACAGACATAAGAGTTAACACATGTGCCAAGTTTATTTATGTGAGTTTGGAAGCTAACTCAAAAGACAGCATGAACAAAAGGCTCCATTAGTGCTGAGGCCTGTACAGACCATCCTCTATCTTTGCTAATGTTCTGAGAAAGTGCCTCTTTGAATATAGTAAAAAGAGAAAGACAGAAAGAGAGGTAGAAAGAAATGGCCTTGTTTAAGAAACTACAACAGAAAGAGAAATAGAGAGAGCATATGTTTTCAAAATTCATTACCATAAAACCATTTTCCTTGTTAATAACTCAACACCTCTTGTGAGTTATAATTCCTACCTTTTAGCTTTTCAAACTGATTCAAATTAATCCAATGAGGATTTTATATGTACATGGTTTGTAGCTCAGAGAATTATGGTATATTACTATGGTTTGAAGTTGTAATTATTTTAATTCATTTCTATAAGAGGTCATATCCAGGAAGAAATAAAAAATTGACTAGCTTTACCAAAACTAGTGTATTTATGAAGTTTGACTTAGTCTGGCACAAGGCACACAGAATTGCATTTATATTGGAAAGGGGTTTACCAGTTGTAATTCAATTCAGTTGACTATTTCAACATTTTCAAAACAAGTGAATTTAACACATTTTATAGTTTTTCATACAGAATTAAATATTAAAAAAAAAAAAAAAGACAGTATAGATGTATTGTATATGACATATGGTTTACCTGGGAACTACACAGTTTCCCAGAGAGAAAATTGTTTGAATTGTCTAACTTTTTATCATGCTTACACGGTTGTGTCCCTTGTTTTGATACAGTAGTTTTGTCTTAACTCTGGAATAAATATGGAGCTTCACTGCCATGTATTGTTATCCCTACATTGTTATGAGTGAACCATACTAACAAAAATGAGACATATCTTGTCACAATGGCACCCTGTTGTTCAAGAGATAAAAAAGAGTGAGAGAGATTTTGTATCCTTTCTTTTACACTGTTTTATACAATGTCACCTAGTGGGAATTTAGAGGATTTCCTAGTATACAAAGTGTGGTAATCCCACACACTTATTATACAAAATAATGGTTTGCTGTCAATTACTTAATCATCAAATGTGAGGATATACATATATATATTCCACAACTGTTATTGTTGCATAGCAAGTTTCTATTTAAACAAAACAGTATATCTTAGACAGTGAACATCTCTGTTGTAATGTCTATATAACCACTTGGATGATGGTCATGTGAGCTGAGATTGAAGACCAGTATAATAAAGAAATATCGAAATGTTGAACAGGTTTTGTCTTTATTTTCTTTTAAAACTAAACTTGGAAAGGCTCATGATAAAACATAATAAACATTCATTGTTGTTATATTTAACATTATATGTTTGATATATATATATATATATATATATATATATATATATATGAGTAAAAGCTAAAGCTTAAAATATAAAATACACGGCTACTCTGAGTTTCATGTAATAACAATCCTCATGATGATTATTATTACATAAGCCTCTGAGTAGGGAATTTTGATATTATTGTATTAATAATACTATATATATATATATATATATAGAGAGAGAGAGAGAGAGAGAGACAATGAGATAGGCAATGACTTGATATTTAGTTTCTTGTAAATGTTTCATTGGATTTCATGAATAAAATATTTTCAAGAAAATTTATTAAATTTAATTGATCTAAATTACAAGACTACAAAACATTGCATTTTGATGATTGAGATGTGAGCAAGAATTTTATTTTTCAATTAATGCATTTAAATTTAAAATAACTCAGTAGAGTTTAATTTTATCTAGTATATTTTTATCAGATTAACCCAAAACATTTTCTGATCCCAAGCAAAAACTTTTCATTTTTTTATTTCTTTTGTGGTGAACTCATCAAGAAGAGAGAGTTGAAATTTCTAGGGCACATAATGAGGAAAGAGGGCTTGGAAAATTTGATACTCACAGGACAGATTTAACGCATGAGATATGTAGATAACATTCTCCGAAGGAAAACTGAAAGAACTAATATTAAACAAGGTAGTAAATGAAAGGAAGAAGAATGGATGAACTATTAATTGGAAGAAAATAGAATGTACAGTTTTCAACAAAATAATCAGCCCCAGATGTGAGCTACCTGATAGGGGATATCATAATCAAGCAGGTACAGAAATTAAACTATCTGGGTCATATAATAAGAGGTGGCAAAAAATGTCATACAGAAATCTGAATGTGTACAGGAATAGCAGAGGATGTATTCTAGAAACAAAGTATTAAGAGATAGAACAATATCATTAAGAATAATGGAAAGTGTGCTGAACTGCTGTTTCATATCTATTCTCTTATACTTCAGTGAATACCAGACAATTTCCTCACAGATGAAGAGACTTGAAGTGTTAGATGTGGTTCTACAGACGGATGCTGAGATCACCACAAACAGATCATACAAGCAGCAGGAAAATTTTTAAATCAGTGTGACAACAAAGAAACTTATATTTATAATCAAAAAGCTGAAATTTATGGATGCATAATGAGGATAGAGGATTTGGAGAATTTGAAACTTACAAGGTGTGAAAGCAAGAAAATCAAAGGGAAAATGAGTAACATAGAGTTTTGTGTGAATGAATGGCAAAGCAAAGATAAAGAGGGATGATAAAGCATGAAGTAACTAAGAGCAGAAAAATAATAGGAAATAGTGGAGAGCCATCTTTTTGTTATTCTAAATTCTCTGGAATTATTGGAGAGAATGTTTTATTTAATTAATCTGTTCATACCCATCACTCCTGAAATGGAATTTTAGACATTAATGGACAGGTAGAAACTTATAATTAATACGGTATTTTTATTTTAATTATTCTAATTAATATCGGATTTTATAGTGGGTATTAGTGGGTTAAATTAAATTCTGTTTATCCTGTCTTCACTACTTCTGTAGCAAAGACAGAAAATAGAAATGATGATTGAACAAAAGCCAATAGGCCATGTCTAATGTTATTGTATGATGAAACAAAATCCTTCTCAGGCTACTTTCGTTTCTTTATTTATCTTTCTGTGTTGGTCATTTTCATGTTTTTTTTTTCTTTCTCTATTTCAGTTCCTTTTTCTTGATCTCTCTGTATATGTCAGAAGTTTATTTGATGACCTTCCCCACTTGGCTTCTGTTTGTCAGTTTCTCTCTTCCAGTGTTTCTTTTCATCATTTTGACATTCATGTCTTTTTCTGGATTTATTTCTTTCAGTTCATATGTTTCAGTATAGATTTTTATAGTTTTTTATAGCAGTCTTTTTTTCTTTTTTTTTTTAACTCTATCTAAACTGAGGTAGTTTTTAAATTATACCATTTTTAATATAACTCAAATGTTGATTCAGTTTGAGAGTTTGAGTGAAAGATGCATTCCTAAAGTTAAAATATTAAGAGACAGGAAAACAAGTGTGACACTGAAATCTGAAGGTGTATTGAGATAGCCAAAGATGCACTCCAAAAGCTAAGCAGGGAATTAAGAAACAGAAGTTTCATTAGAAACAAAGGAAAGGGTTCTGAACTGCTATGTAATATCAGTCTTTTGATGTAGTTGAAGAGGAAACTTGTGGCAATAGAGATGTAGTTCTACAGAAGGATACTGAGGCTTCCATAGATATAATATGTGAGCAATTAGGAAGTTTTAGGGAAAATGGAAAAAAAAGATACTTAAAATCAGAAAAAAAAAACTGTTGCAATTTCTGTGACACATAATGTGGAAAGAGGGCTTTGATAATTTGGCACACACAGGAGAAGGGCAGAGGGGAAACAGTTGATAATTGACCCCACAAGAATGTATAAATTGATGGCTGAACCAGGGCTTGGAGGGATATTAAAGGGACAAACATTACTTACAGTTTTGAAGGATAATAAAGTGTGGAGAGCCATGATTGCTGACATCATGAAGTGACATAATAGAAGTTCCAAAGAAGTTCTCTCTACCATAGATATTCTAGTAGGGGGATATTCAGACTATATTAATAGAAGCATTTTTATTTTAAAAATACCAAGTTGTGATTATTTCTATGGAAACCCAATGCAAAATATATTGCAAATATAACTGTATCGGCAACATATTCTTGCACTTGTTGTATGACTAGAACTGTCAAAGTTAGTCGTCATTTGAATGAAATGCATTCCCTCTACTTCAAAACTAATTACCGTAGTCAAGAAGGTTCAGGAGCTCTTTCTCATAGTTTAGAAGGTTATGCCTGATTGTCATGTCATCAAAATTTGAACATCTGTTGATGTAAAATCATGAAATAATTTACTAATTCTGAGGCACTTCATTGATACATGAAAACCATCATATTTGGTTTGATTCAGTAGTGTGTACTGTTCTATGGCCAATTGATATTATTATTGATTAACTTGTTTTCTTCGATTCAGCCCTTTTCAGATAATTTAAAACCAAAAAATATTTTTAGATTGTAAGAAATTTTTTTTTGAGATAATAATAATAATTTAGTAATACAAATCTTAATAATTAACCCATATGTGGGAGGAGAAGATGTAGATTCATATCTTTCCCAACAGTATTTGTGCTTAAATGAATACAACGAACCCAACTGTAATTAGAACTCTGCTCTCTGATTAATAATTCCAAGTCATTATCCATTACACCACCTGTAAATCCAAGTTTACAGCACATGGTATTTCCAAACAGTCACCCATCTAAGTACTGACCAGACTTGTCATTGCTTTACTTCAGTGATCATATGGGAACTAGTGTTTCAACATGAAGCCACAAGCCTAACATTATTAGATTAGGTTGTAAAATAAAAAATGCATTTGTTTGGTTGGCTAGATTTGGTCAATCCATCTGGGAAGGATTAATTTAGCTCAGTTTGTTCTTAACACATTTTATCTTCCTTATATCTTCTTCGATGTGCTGTGTTCCTTCAGGATGTAGGTAATTATGGCTCTCAACAATTTCCAATCCTTTATAGGTCTTAATAAATTTTGTCTTTTTGTTATCACTCCTAAACTTTTCTCTGCTATCCATTTACCCAAGCTCCTTAGGTAGAGTATGTGTCATTTTCCTCCATTCCTCTTGCATTCCATCAGTCCTGTATGTATCAAATTTTCCAAGCCTTCTTTCCTCAGCATATGATCTAGTAATTTCATTCACCATCTTTATATATGTTTTTATGTACATACTCTCTCGTATGTATTTTAATGTAAGTAATGGCTATCTGCTCATTTCCAAGTATGTCCATCTACAGATACCTATTCAGACACATTTGTGTTTCTTCATCACTCACAGAGCTAACCTGCTTTGACTATTCAGAGTATACCTAAGTTACAGTTTATGGGAGACAGTGTATAATCTAGTGGGTTCAGTTGTTGAACAAGACTAGTGTAGTTGAAATAAAATAACACTTTTCTCTTGCATTCTCTGCTTTGACTCTCTCAGCAATTGAACAACTGGCAAAAATCCTGAGTGACAAAGGTTCTCCAGGCAACAGACAAAAAAAAACTCACTAGATAGAAAAATCATTGGGTTTAATAAAATTCCACTGGGTGGTCTTCTTCCGGTTAATAGGGGTGACATCTCTATTACAAGCTGAAATTTCACTCCATTTGCTGGACAGTAAATTTTAAATTTATTTTTCTCTGGAACCAAAACTTGCATGTGCAAATCCTCAATCATGATGACATGATGCTAGCACAACTATCTTACCCACCTAATTTCACTCAGAAGGCTTTGACCAACTCATGACTTCATTGACAGGCACTTCTTAATATTGCCATATATTGGGGTGACATTTTGATAATAATGACCTGGGGGATATCCCCACAAGACCAATTTTATCAAAATGTCACCTCCTTGACAAATCCACCATAGTGAGATTCGAACCTGAGTCTCAGTGTTAGAATGTTAGCATTGTAACCACTCAGATGCATGTAGTCATATATAAGAATTTTTATGTATGTCTCTATGTATGTATCCTTTTATCTTGGTTACTATCTCCTTATAAGTGATGATATCATTCCAAAATGTTTTTCACACCTGCAATTAACTTATCTATCTTCTCATCTTCATAAAGATAAAGGAGCAAAAATTTAAAAAAGACGAAAGAAATGGTTACAAGCAGCAGCAAGCTGTCATCACTGGCTGTTAATATGCACACGCGAAGGATACAGTTTTCTCACTTATTTCTTTTTTGTTTTTACTTATGTTCACATGAAACAAAGTCCTACCCAATGAAACATCACTATTTGATCATGTGACACACGTCTCAAAAATAGTATCGAGTTAGCTCTGAGCTATCAGCAGATATAATCATTCGATACATTTAGATATAGAGAGAAAAAGGAAAACTAAGTCAACAGGAATACAGTTGTTTCCATTGTTCACTCTTGTTGCATAAAAGTTTTGGCTTTTTTTGTGTTCCTCTTTAGAGATTGCCTTCAAGATTCTCTTTTGCTGTAGCTTTCTTAAGTTCAAACCAAATTACATGTTACTAACTTAATATACCTTCCCATAATTAGGGTATAATAAATGTAATATTTTCAGCCTTCACTCCTTTAATTTTGTCTTTTGTCTCTATAAGTTTATTACAGTTTAGAGAGTTTCTCTTCTCTTCACTTCAATTATTAAGTTTGATGAAGAGGCTAGCAGGTTGTTTCCAGTTTATAAATTATCTTGTGACATTTCTTTTTAAAATTGTCATATTACTATTTACTCTTTTTTGTATTCATATTTGCTTCTAAGAATAGTTTTTATCAGCCATTTTTGTTGAATGGTTTCATAGCTGCATACCTTGCAGATATTCTTTTATTGATATTAAACAGACTCTGACATTGTAATGGCATCAGTGGACATCTATAAATATTATATTGTTTTTCAGAATAATAATGGTTTTATACTTCTCTGGTCTTTCTGACTGGAATCAGGGGGTTCCCCAGGCTATAATTATATTCTGTATGCAAGATCCATTTTATAAGTGTATGTCTTATCAGACAATAATGATTTATGCCAAACTAACTCAGAATGTACTAACAGACCAAGGATATTGTTGGTGAAGACATAATTTTTTGCATGTCCTCTCATGAGAGAAAGTGCATACATTTCAGAGCAGGGAACCAATAGCTGCATGGGTCATGCATATACACAAACTCTCTCTCTTTTTCTATATATATATATATAAAGAATTAATGCATTTTATTTTTTAATCCAACATATTTCTATTACTCAAATGGATGCCAAGGTTTGAGTAAATTTTTTTTTTTTTTTTAAAACAGTATTTAATTGGTCTACCGCCCTAATAAAGAAAATGTGTCCTCTGGAAGGATTCAAACCTCACATTGTTTTCTCCTGCAAAGGCTGACACAGGTTTGAATCAAGCAGGAGGGGATGTTTTCTTTTAAGTTTTTTAGAATGTGCAGGTTGGTAGATGAAATAAACTGTTTAAAAAAAAAAAAATGAGTTAATGAGGTATCAAATAAAATGAACATTTGAAGTTATATATATATATATATATATATATATATATAACAAAGTGGAAAAAGTCTTTTGTGTGAACGTTTTATCAATTAGGACTTCATCGAACTAGTTTATTCACATTGATACAATCACACATGTGCAGAAATGAGGGATGCTGGAAATTTTAAACTGAGAAAAAAGTTTTTAAAACATGAAGGATGAACTTATTCTATCATGCCTTAAGGATTTACAGAAAGAATATATTGGAGAAACCTCAAGAAGTTCAAATAAAAGATTATATGAACAATGAAGGGACATTTTAAAAAAAACCCAAAAAACACACATTAAATGTTTTAGTTGCTCACCATAACAACACTCACCACAATTTTGACATAAAAAATGCTACTTTAAATAATTTATTAAGACAAAAATGTTTAGAAAGTGCTTTAATCACTAGTTCATCCACAGTAAGTTTGTGTCCAGATTCTTATCATTCTTGGCAGATCTTCTGTTATTACAATGTGAGATATTTAATAACAAAGATGATGGAAATAAAAAGAAAAACAATCTGAATGAAATTGGCTTTAAAAAAATTTAGAAAATGTTTTTCTAAATTGAAAATTCCCAGTGTTTCTTGTTTGTGTGCATATGTAATCATATCACTGCAAACAAGCCTAGTCTGATGAAGTTCTGAGAACCAAAACACGTCATATGAAAACTTTTTTTACTTTAATATATATATATATATATATATATATATATACACACACATACACAAGTGTACTTCATACTGTTAAAAATGATGGCAGTTGCTAGAAAGTTTTAACAGAGGGAATAAAACAAAAATCTTGAAAAAATGTGTTGAGATTCAATAAAACAGAGATAAAAAATGCAAAATTAAAATAGAGGTTAATGAACCATTTAATTAATTCATTCCCTTGATATTTTTACGTATGATTAAACTGGCTATTATATAAATCATTTTAACCCAATATCTTTTCATGTTAAAAATTTTATGTATAAATTTTTTTCTCTGTATAACAGTGAAAAGGCAATATCTCTTGGAAGAAAAAGATAAACAGAATGGCAAAGCATATTTGTTGCTGATGAAGTTGAAGCTAGATGATCGCTTAATAGATAAAGGTGTCTGAGTGCCTCACATGAAAGGCTTGAACAAATAAGACTGAAGTTTAAGAAACATAGGAGCAAAAGAACTGATTATAAAAATGGTTTGTTCAGGAAGTAATTTTGTCTAAAAGCAGATGAATATTTGTATAGATTATTAAATGACTAAGACAAGTAGGGCCTTGTCTATATTATCAGGAATACTATCTAGCATGCAACAGTCATGAGAGGAAGGGGAATGGTAGAGAAAGAAGAGATAGCTGACTGAGTTTAGTAGAGAGAGATGGAGACACATGTAAGAATCGTCTGAAGATTCAAAAGAGAGCTCCCTCGCCAGCAGGAGATGTTTGCAGATATAAATTCCCAGGCCATGCATGTGGACATTAGAGTCAGGAATTGAGAATTCAAAGGAGGGAATTGATGAGTTCAAATTAGCTTTGCAGAGAGTTAGAATGTCTGGAAATATTCAATGCTGCAGAAGTTTGTACGTATACCACAAATGTTGGAGAAGGAAATGTTTAGGGGTTTAGGTGTTTTTTGTTGAGCTGGTTTAATTTTATATATTTGGTTGCTTATAGTCATGGTGCATTTTGGTAAGGAAAGGCCTAGGGTAGTAGTAGCAGTCAGTTGTCTAATGTAATGTGTGGGAAGGGAATTGGTGCAGACTGCAACATAGTGTGGCCTCAAGGTTGTCTACTGGAGATGTTTGTAGGGACACCCTTCCATGTGTAACATGATGCTGCAAGAACCCTGATATTATGTGACTGTTGATCAGAGCAGCCACTCAAGATGCTATGCAAAAGTTCAGGCTCCTAACTACCAGTTGGGAACAGCAACCAGGAAACTGCCAACTTGGTACCTTCAGAATGAAGAGACATGGCCACCGTCCACACACATCACAAAAAAATTGCAGCAGCACCATTATTAAGGCCTGAGAAAGGGAAAAGAACTGAGAACTCCTTCCTAAACAGGAAACCAGAAACTGTTCAAGAGAAGGAGGAGGAGTATGGATTGAGTGATAGGAAAGCCTATCTACTCCTATTTAAAAAAAAAAAAAAACAAAGTAAAGAGGAACTAAGTTTTAACTTAGTTTAAGTTGAGATGTACATTAGAATTTCAACAAAGAGTTAAAATGGCAGAAGACCTACCTCTGAAAGGTCTGTACAAGAATGAAATCAGTCCT